CACACACACACCTGATCAACATTTCTTCTAGACCAGTTAAGTAGGTTACATGCATCATAATGCATGTTGTGTTCAATCTCTTGTTTAGTCACCCTTGATCTTTTGTGTGGTAATGACTTATGTTTATGTTGTTGGGTATCACCCAACTATCCACAATCTGCCAAGCTAATTAGCATGTAGTTCAACACTTATGTCAGCTTTCTTACTCATGAACATATTTTTATACTGCCACTGTGAACATGTATATAGTTTCATGTATTTGTCTATGTTGTTGTAGACTATTTATATCATTACCACACAAATGTTAACCATGTATGTTCATGCAGGTATTTTGTTGTTCTTGATGATATATGGGACGTGGATACATGGCATGTTCTTAAGCATGCATTTCCGGTGAAAAGTTCTGGCAGTATCATAATCACCACTACTCGTATAAATGATGTTGCTGAATCATGTCGTTCAACACCATTCAGTGGAGATATTTATTGCATAAGGCCTCTTGACATGGTGCACTCCAGACAATTGTTCTACACAAGATTATTCAACGCCGAAGAAAATTGCCCCTCATACCTTAAAAAGGTTTCTGAGCATATATTGAGAAAATGTGCTGGATTGCCTTTGGCAATCGTTGCTATATCTGGTTTGTTGGCTAATACTGAAAGGACAGAGGGTCCATGGAAACAAGTTGAAGATTCGATTGGTCGAGCACTTCAAAGAAATCCCAGTGTTGAAGGAATGATGAAGATATTGTCACTTAGTTAATTTGATCTGCCTGCTCATCTGAAATCTTGTCTTTTATGTTTGAGTATATTCCCTGAAGATTCTGATATCAGTAAGAAATTTTTGATAAAGAGGTGGATTGCTGAAAGATTAATTCATACAGAAGCCGGATATAGTACAACATATGAGTTTGGTGAAAGGTGTTTTAATGAGCTCATCAATAGGAGTTTGATCCAACCTGGGGAAACCAACAGATATGGTATGGTAAAGTACTGTCGAATTCATGACACAGTTCTTGATTTCATCATATCCAAATCCGTCGAAGAAAACTTTGTTACTTTGGTAGGTGTTCCTAGTTTAACTGTTGGCACACAAAGCAGAGTTCGCCGGTTGTCCCTGCAAGCCGGCAAGCAAAAAGAATTGATAGTGCCAAAAGGCTTGGTGTTGTCTCATGTCCGATCACTTGATGTGTTCGGAGAATCCGTGAAAATCCCTTCTATGGATAAGTTCAGGCATTTGCGTTTTCTGGACTTTGAAGGTTGCAAACAACTGGAGAACCATCATCTTAAAAATATAGATAACTTGTTTCAGCTCAGGTACCTGAGCCTTCATGGGGTGAAGAAAGTAAGCAACCTCCCAGAACAAATTGGACGCCTATGGTGCTTAGAGACACTGGACTTAAATGGTACCTCTGTTTGCGAGTTACCAGCATCTATTGTCAATCTCAAGAGACTGGTGCACCTATTAGTAAACCATAATGTTACACTTCCTTGTGGAATTTCCAAGCTGCAAGCACTGGAGAAATTGAAGGTTGTCACTGTCTATAACCAGTCATTTAACTTGCTGCAAGAATTTGAGCATCAGCCGAGCCTGAAGGCGCTGACCCTTGATTTTGAGGATTATAATTCTGCTGACCGAGTGAATGCTGAAAATGAGTCCAAGAAAGATATTGTTGTCGCTTCCCTTAAAAACCTAGGGAACCTTCTCTCCTTAGCTGTTTGGGATGGCCCTGAATTTGTAAGGGAGTCTTTGTGCCCTATGCCACTTAGCCTTCAGAAGCTGAAAGTCTGGCGTTCTAGTATTCCCCATGTTCCAAAGTGGGTGGGCTCCCTTGTCAACCTCCAGGAGTTACGCCTTGAATTGTTCAGACCTGAGCAGAAAGATTTATATATCCTTGGAGGCTTACCTGTTCTGCGTTGTCTGGTTCTGGAAATTGATGACTGTGAAACTATAAATACTCCTTTAACAGAAGAGCCTGAAGTTACAAGGGTCATAGTCTGTGGTGAAGTTGGATTCCCGTGCTTGAGGATATTTGTTTATGATAATCGGTATGCTTGGATGAATTTGACCTTTGCCGCTGGAGCCATGCCCAATGTAGATGACCTTTTGATAGCATTTGACCCAGAAGAAACTGAGTCTGTCGGTACTAGTGGTGATTTTGATCTCGGAATCGAATATCTCCCCAGCCTCGTTAGAATCAGATGTGTGGTATGGGGATTCAATAGCAGCAGAGTTGAGGCTGCAGAGACTGCCATTCGGGAAGCAGCCTACGCACATCCCAACCGCCCTACTCTACGCTTCGACTGATAATGCGTTGCCGGAATCGAGGTACTAACTTTTTCTCCCATGAAAGAGCATGCACTTTTATCCACAAGATCTCTCTCATTGCAGCCTTGCACCCTTCAGATACAGATATTAGTAAATACATATATTAATGCATGTGTGTAGCACTTGCACCCTTCAGATACAAATATTAGTACATACATGGTGCCTTCAGTTTTTTAATCTCCATTGAGTTATTGGCCTTCTGTTTCGTAATAATGTGAGAAAGATGACAGGCAAGTAACTGTGCTGTACAATCGTACACACATTTGTTTGTTCGTGAATTAATTGCATGCGTTTCCTGAAAGTAAGGTGGCCCAAACTCAACTCAACTGAACTTTGCATAAATAAATCCTCCTCTATGCATTAATGCATGTGTGTTTGGCCAGTCGAAACTCTTAACTGGAAAAATGCCGTGCTTCAGGGCCGAGAAGAAGATGTCATCGATGCTGTCGTGTCGTGGGAGAACGACACCAAGGACAAGGCGGCATTGACGTGAAGCTCGGAACACAAGAGGTCTCGCCTCTGAATCTGAACCTTGCCCAGTTCTCTTACCGGCCGACCTCTCATTGCAGCTCTTGCTTCATTGGTTTTCAACATTGGTCATGAGCTTCGCTCATGAATGTATTATATTTGGGAGACTGTTGCTGTTGTCTTGTCCCCCTAAATCAGTTGCTCGCCGGCGGACACAAACAGCTCGGTCAGGGAAGAAAACAGAGCAGCGGTTCAGGGAACCGTAGTGACAGTGTTTAACATCGTGTGCAATATTCTTGCATCAGTTTGGTGATATGCTGACTCTGATCGATCCGTCTTGCTGCCTGCTGCAGATGGACCACCAGCGCCAACAAGAGCACAGCGAGGACCAGCAACTGACACAGGTAATTCCTTTAATATTCAGCAAATTTGGAGGCAGATTCTAGCGTGTTCTCTGCTGTGAATCTGAAACAAAATGAATGAAGCTGACAGGCGCGGTGCTGGGAAAGGGAGATGGAGAGGAGAACCAGAAGAGCAAGGCCGACAACAGGTGGCATGCCTCGACTCATCTCAACTCAACAGATGGTGCAGGGCTGAGCACAAGATGTCGTCCGTCCTATCATGGGAGAAGACCAAGAAGGCGGCTGTCCAAGCCAAGCTCCGAACACGGGAGGTATGTCGACTCTGAAACTCTGAAGCCCGCCTTACTTCCCTCCCGGCACTTCAGTAGTTCAGTTAGCAGCAAAGTTCAATCTGCTATACAGAGCAGTGACAGTCACGTAGGCGCCGGTCCAAGGGAACCACGCCCAAGAAGAAATTCCTCGGCTGCTTCGGATGAGCAACCACTGAAATACAATCATAGTGAAAGTGTTGAACTAGCTTAGGTAAAAGATTGTGCTCTCTCTACTGCTCTTGCTCTGTTCTTGTGGAACATGGACCATAGGCTTGGGTCATTGCATATATGGGCGTGTTTATATTTGGGAGATGAGCTGCTTGCTTTTGTGTAGTGTGATGCACATGTATACGTAGTGTAAGGGCGCATGTTCTGTCTCGGTGTGTGGGATGGATGCTGCCGTGTTAGTGTATGTACGTACTCGGATTTGAGAATGTGAAGAGATGTTCTTGTTATGCAGAGAAGGTCCTAGGCAGGCGGGTTCAGAGTTCACCAATTGTCGGTTCACGAATTGTGCAGAGTCCCCTGCTTGTCCGTGCTCCAAAGCCTGGTGCGGTACTGGCCACTGTAGAGGCTTCTAAACTGGATGGAGGGAACCTGCAGATGGAGAAAAAGGTATTGTAACTCTGAATGATGGTGGCCCCAGACACATCACCAAATATCTGGAGATCCTATAAGGCCTCCTTTGCGGGGAACTACCATGAGATCTGATATGCTAATTTCTAGAGCCAAGGTCTACTCAGACGTCTCATGCCAAGGGTTGGTGTACACATTCAGCTCGAACAGGAGCAGCACAAGATCGACACCTTCATTACAGGGACATGCATGCACATCAGTTTTTTCTCCATCGCAGGCCGCCGCAAAAGCTCTTCAAGTGGCAGCAAGGTTAGCGTCCTTGATTTCCTTGCAGGATGTCTCCTTCCTCACAGATAACTGTAGAGATCTCGGAACTCAGAGTGGGCATTGGGAGATCAGGTCCAGTTTAGCTAGTTCCTTTCAAGCATCTCTTCCCCTGTCCTCCAAAGTGTACCGTATCTAAGAGATCTTAATACTGCTGCCCATAACTGTGCTCAGCAGGCTTTTATACCTAGCATAGTTAACAGGTTTAGCTGTTGTCGCTCAGTTCATAGAGGACTCTAAAACCCTATGATCAGCAGGTTACGTGGTTCCAATCTTCATGATGTTGTAATATCCTCTATACGATGTGTTTGAAGATGGAATATTATGGCGCCTTAGGCGCCTCTCGTTGTTCAAAAGAAAAGAAAATTAGGTGTACCAGTTTCAGCCCAACTAATGACCAATAAAAAAGAGTCAAATATAATCATCCCGTATCCCTTCAGCCTGTAATCGCCCACCCCCACAGGTGTACCAAAGCTTAGTAATTTATTATGGATCTGATATAGATCTGCACTCCTGTAAGAATTGGTCCACAGCAGAAAAAAAGGTTCAGAAAGGGGTTGTTGCTTCTGCACATAAGAAGTTGATAAAAAACAGCTATGAGACCATCGAGCAATTAAAAATCCAAAAGAAAACAGAGTTGGTGTGAAAGCTCTAAAAGTACATGTAGCGATTTTGGTTTCAATTCTTTGTATTTTCGCTGATCGTCGGCTGTGGATGTTTTTTTTTACCTTAGACTAGGAATTTCTTCCCAGTGTATCTTGAAGGTTAAAGAACAACACAAATAAGTGTTTTTTATTTACCTTCCCAACGTCATGCATAAGTCAGAAGGTTAAAAAATAACACAAACAAGTGTTTCGGGTCTAGAGTACTACTTCCTCCGTTCCTAAATATTTGTCTTTCTAGAGATTTCAACAAGTGACTATATACGGAGCAAAATAACTGAATCTACACTCTAATGGTAAGCCGGGGGGACGCGAACACGCAATTCTTCCACATGATCGCTAATGGTAAGCATAGAAAGAAGAGGATCTTTCAGCTTGAACAAGATGAGGGAACGATTCTTGGACAGGAAAACTTAAAGCTATATATTACTGAGTATTAGAGCATCTCCAACAGGCGCCTAACGCGGCGCGCGCAAAAAACAGCTTTAGCGCGCGCCCATCGTCTGGTTTGGCGCGGCGCGCGGCGCCCGCTCCAGCAGCCGTGCTAAAATGCAGCGCGCGCGCCGCTCCAGCAGCACGCAAAAAATGCAGCGTGCACACAACATTTTTTTTTAATTTTCGAACGCATAGATAAAATAAAAACTAGATAGATTGCATAAATAAAAAACGATACAAAGGTATTTTACATCCGTGCAACTAGATAGATAGTTCGAAAGCATAGATAAACTACGGCGCAACTAGATAGAAATTACTCTAAGTCGCTATCATCATCACCATTATCATCCTCGGCGGTGTTGTCCGAGGTGTCTGGTCAGATGTCCAGCCACTGATCATCGTTCGGCGCGAAGAACGACTGCCCACCTGCTGCAACGATGTCGGACTGCGCATTCGCCAATGCCTTCCGCTGACGCCTTTCCAACCGCGTCTCGCGGCGCCTTCGCGTGTCCTCCTCGCGGCGCCTTGCCCAGTAGGCCTGCTCGTAGGCGACGTCCTCCGGGTGGCGCTGGCGCCACTCCGCCATGACCCGCTCGTCCTTCTGGGCGACGAGGAGGCGGCGTTGCCGCTCGGCGTGCTCCGCACGGTCTTCCGCCGTGTTCAGACGAGGCAGAGGGGCGAGGTTGAGCGCTTGCTGGAGCGTGTACACATCTTGAAAGTTCATCTGGCCGCGCGGCCGGCCTAGGCGCCACGCCGCCGCGTCGTACGCGCGGGCGGCCTCGCGCGCCGTCCCGTACGTGCCGAGGCCGAGCCGGAGTTCGCCGGAGCGTATCTCCGCGGTGTAGCAGCCGTTGGGGCGCAGGCGGACGCCGCGGTAGCCGGACGCTCCTCGGCGGCGCGGCGGCATGGCGGCGCGGCGGTGGCGGGGCGCTGGAGCGGCGCGTGGCAGAGAGGGAGAGGAAGAGGGGAAGAGGAAGTGTGAAGAAGCGCGTGGCGAAGCGGCGCGCAGCTTTATAGGCGCGCGCGAAGCGGCGCGCCAAATCTTGCGCGCGAGCTGGCGCCTTTTCACGCGTGCGCGCAAACGGTTCCGGCGCGCGCTTGTTTCCCGCGGCCGCTGGAGCGCGGCAAACCGCCCCGCGAGCGCTAAAAGCTGGGTTTACCCCGCGCGCGCGTCGTTTGGGGCGTCTGTTGGAGATGCTCTTACAAGCAGCTGTTTGGGCCTCTAGAGGAGAACTGTGTGTCGCTGGATGAGTCTAGGATTGACGATGTGCCTCAACTTACTGCTGTTGAGAATGATATTTTAGCTGCTCCTTTCTCTGCGAAAGAGGTGTTTGAGGCCATTTCCCAGATGAAGAATAATAAGGCTCCTGGCCCAGATGGCTTCCCAGATGAGTTTTATAAGAAGTGTTGGCATATTATTAAAGGAGATCTGTTGCCGTTGTTCAATGATTTATTCTCTGGCCAGCTTCATCTTTTTCAGCTGAATTTTGGAACGATAACCCTACTTCCCAAGAAGACAGAGGTAGTGAGAATCGAGCAATTCCGGCCTATCTGTCTTCTTAATGTTAGTTTCAAAAAATTTATCAAGGTCGGGATGAATAGGTTCACACAGATTGCGCATACTGTGGTGCAGCCTACTCAAACTGCTTTCATGCCGGACAGGAACATCCTCGAAGGGGTTGTGGTCCTTCATGAAACGCTCCATGAGATTCACACGAAAAAACTTGATGGAGTTGTTTCTAAGGTGGATTTCGAGAAAGCGTGCGATAAAGTCAAATGGCCTTTCCTTCATCAGGCTTTACGTATGAAGGGTTTTGATGAAGCTTGGCGACGCCAAGTTG